GAAGGTGCTCACACCTATGGCCCCAGAACTTCACCCCTAACAGCCCTCATATAATGCATGCCCTGGAAAACACGTACAGAATTTCACAGTAGAACTGTTTGTATTAGCAAAATTCTGAGAACAACCTAAATGTCAATCATTCATCTCCAAATAGTGAAATAATATCCCAGACTGAAAAACAAGTGAACTAGAACTACGTGTATCCACAGGAATGATTCCACCAGATGTAGCGTTAAACAAAGAAAGTAAATTGCAGAGAAACACAGGAAATATGCAGGTATACGCAGGAGCCGCCCTGCATGTGTAGTTGGAATGCACGCAAAGCAAAATACGCATTGTTTAGGGATCCAGATATATGTAGAGAAAGAATAAAGGAATGTCTAGGGGTGGTAAACAGCAAATTCAAGATGATGATTACCCCTGCAGAGGAGGGAGAGGCTTCCACAGGGGCCTTCAGCTCTATTAGTGATGTATTTCTCGTGCTGCGTGCTTAATAAAATAAAGCACCTAGGCGTTATTTTATTATTCCTTGTTCCTTCTGTATGTCCTAAATATTTAATCACTATTTTAATGATAAGAAAGGGAAAAAACTTCTGGAGGTTTCCAGGAAAGATAAAGAGCCACAGGGGTTGCTGGACTCCACTGCCAGAGTCTCCTCACTTCCCGTAATTCCTTTCTGCCCTTTGACACTCAAAGTAGCTCAAACCACTCAAGGTTTCCAGGGCCTCCGAACTCCAGGTCCATGTGGTAGCAGGGTCATTCCAAAAGCCAAATGCCAGCCCTAAGAACCTCAGAAGAAGCTCCCCTGGGGAACAGACAAGAAAGCAGTTGAGTAGATAGATTTCCTACTAGGAGAGATTTTAGGGAACAGGGCCTGTTTGGGTTGTGTTAACAGGCCCTTTGGAAATCACAAAACATTGCCTCAAGAGCATGCTCCTAGGTCATTCCAAGGAATCTCCCAGGGAAAAGGAAATGACCAGGTTATTGTCTCCCTGCCTTACCAAGAGGTTGACAAGACCCCCTAAACTGCAGCGGAGCAGTAAGAGCCTAGCTCTGGAAGGAAGCAAACTCGAGCTTGAATCCAGGGCCCCGCCACTAGCCAGGGCAGCTTTGCACAAGTCGCTTCACATTTTGAAACCCTGGTTGCATTCTGGGTTGATCAATCCTCGGAGGATGGTTGTGAAGACCAGATGGGACCGTGTTTGCACAACTGGAACAGGGCGGGGTCCTCAGGGCCCCGGAGAAGACGGGCTCTGGCATCCCTCCTGGTCTGCTGCACGTTCCCAGGGAAGCCTCCACCTTGGAACCCTCCCCGACAGGTGACTGTGTCCCAGGCCCCTGGCCAGGTGCTGAGTGTAACACCTGCCTGGCTGCCTGGGGCACTGCAAACAGTCCAAGGAGGGCCCTTCAAGAGGCCACGACATTCTCCAGAACATTTCCTTACCCTTCCCAAAGGCTCTTTCCTCAAAATCCTCAACACCAGCACCAGCAGGTCAGGAATACCTGTTGGATCCCCCGTGGTAGAAGTGACAAGACCGCCTGCAGAGACTAGAAGCCCAGTCCCATGAGGTCACCTGGACAGGTGGTCACAAGCCCGAGAAAGCAGTGGCCTAAGCCCCTGTTCATATTGTGGGGTTCTGTGGCCCCAGGAAGGGGCGGGGGAGAGGAGGTGGGAAGGACGGCCTGTAACAATGTAAGGATGTGACTAAAGTCTCATCAGCCCCCCACCATGACAGCATTTTCTCTGCGCTCCCAAATCGGATTCCTCTTGAGGAGGTTCCCTTCCCTTGTTCTCCCCGCCTCGCCCTTCCTTTCTGCCAAAGTCACTCTCCTTGGGAAACACGCCGTTCTGTCTCTCCTTAGGAATGCCCTGGAAGCCAGGGGCTCTTATCTCCCTCAGCAACACTCTGGCCAGTGCTTGGAATGTGATTTACGTTACTGACCAAACACAGAACAAACACGCAAGGGCTGCCCGACGAGCCCGGGGAAGCTGGGCCCTGAGTGCCCGGAGCAGTGGAGCCCCTGTCGGGAGCAGCGACGATGTCACTGCGGTCCTCTGGGCACCCTGGGCTGGGGCGATGTGGTGGCATCTGGAGAGCTTGAAGGGGGAGACGTTCGGCTCCTCTGGGACTCGTTGCTAGGACTGCAGGCCTGAGGGCTGACTCACCCAACGGGGCTGGGTGCAAGCCAGGGAGCCACGGAAAGACTTTCTGGGTCACACACACTGCCACTGGCCCTGCCAGCTCAGCCTGCTGGGGACCAGCCAGGGCTCGCTGGGCAGGGGGAGCATGGCCCAGGGAGTCAAGGCCTTTTGACCATGATTGAGGCTTTTTCTCTTCTGGGACAGAAATGCATTCCTCTCCTGAGGATGAATTACAAAGCAAAGTGTTCCTGCCTCTCTTCAAAGGCCAGTGAGGTTAGGAAACTGCTCCTTTCTTCTCCTGAAAGCTTGAAAACCAGGCAGGCTTGTCTGCTCTAGGGGCTTCAGCTGCTACCCCCTTACCTCACCTGGAGGTCCCCTGAGGTGGGACCCAGCCTCCTCTCCTGCCTCTTGTATTTGCTGCCACATAATAAGAAATATAGATATTGATTATATATAATGATATCTGCCCCCTCCTTCCTGACAAAGAACTCTTAAAACCCTTGGAATCTCCTGGGTGATAGAAGTGACTTTTGTTCTAATGAGGTGACTCTTGGTGAGCTCCTGGTGGCCCCTGGATTGGAGCCAATCACCAGAAAGACCAAGCCGTGATTAGAAACCTGGAACTTTCAGCCCCACCATCCTCTGGGGAGGGAAGGGGGCTGGAGATTATGTTAACAATCCATCATGCCTGCTGAGGAAGCCTCCATAAAAATCCCTAAACTGCAGGGCTTGGAGAGCTCCAGACTGACTGGGGCACACATCTGAGTGCAGGGAGGGTGACATGTCCCAGCTCCGCAGGGACAGAGCTGCTGCACTCAGAACCCTTCCGGTCCTCGCCCATGTACCTCTTCACTGGGCTGCTCACCTGTATCCTTTATCGTAGCCTTTATAATAAACCAAAAAACATAAATGTTTCCCTGAGTGTTGTGAGCCATTTCAGCAAATTATCAACCCTGAGGGGGACCATGGTAACCCTCAACTCTGTAGCTAAGACTGTCAAAAATGTAGGTGTCCTGGGGACCCTCAACTTGAGACTGGCGTCTGAAGTGGGGGCTCCTTATGGGTCCGAGCCTTTGAACCTATGGAGCCTGATGCTGACTCCAGCTAGTTAGTGTCAGAAATGAATTAAATTACAGGACACCAGGCCCTAGCCAGTTTGGCACCATGGTTAGAGAGTTGTTCTGTGGACTGAAGGGTCCCGGGTTCGATTCCAGCTAAAGGCATGTACCTAGGTTGCAGGCTTGATCCCCAGCCCGTCAGAGCGAGTGCAGGAGGCACCAAATTGATGTGATGTTTCTCTCTCCCTTCCACTCTCTCTGAAAAGCAATGGAAAAAATATCCTCAGGTGAAGATTAAAAAAAAAAATTATAGGACATCCAGTTGGTGTCTGGAGAGCTGGAAAATGGGTTGGCACAGGGGAAAAACCCCCACACATTTGGTGTCCAGAGTGTTGTACGCAGAGAAAGTTTTCCTTTATCCCTAAACCGACCCATGGGAACTTTTCCTTAGAAAGGTTTTATTGGCAATGGCTATAATGGAAAACAGAAGAAATAGAAAAATAACAAGCCCGGGAACGTGACAGCATTTTGTGTGAATTTACAAGGATCTTACAGTTGCTGACTTCTAGCTGAGACACCAGTGCGAACCCCTCCAGATCCCTCCAGACTTCCCCGTGGGCTCCTCGGCCTAGCTCCTCCCTCCACCAGAACCTTTACCATGCACTGCAGCCCTGCCCACGCCCCCACTCGGGACCCCTCACCCTGACCCCTCTCAGTCTGCAGCGGGCTCCTGAGGAGCCCTTGTCCCTGAGGCCTCGCCCTGCAGGAAAGGCACGAGGAGGAGGCCCTTCATCTCTGATCCGCAGCTGACGCCGAATAATCGTCTACCAGAGTTTCAACCGTAACTGTGCCCAGAAACCCAGACTGTTAAAGCCAGAGCACCCTAAAGGAACATTCCATACTGAACCCGCCTTTCTCACCTCGCAGATAGGAGATGGGATTCCAAGAGAGGATCTCAGATCTGAGACCAACACATGGCTGGACTCGCAGTTGGATATTATTTAAAAGGCATCCTGCCCCTCCCCTCCCCATCGACTTGCTAATACTGTCAAACCAAACCAGAGCTAGGAAGCAAGAAACATTCTCCAAACAGAATGGAACTTGCCCTGCCCGGCCCAGGGGGGCTCAGTGGTTGAGCATCGACCTAGGATCACGGTTCGATTCCCGGTCAGGGCACATGCCCGGGTTGTGGGCTCGATCACCAGTTGGGGACGTGCAGGAGGCAGCGGATCAATGACTCTCTCATCGCTGACGTTTCAACTTTCTCCCTCCCTCTGCCTTCCTCTCTCTGAAGTCAGTAAAGATATATTGAAAAAAAAAGAAAAGAATGGGACTTGCCCTCAGGAAACTTGGGGTTTCCTCCTATGGCATGTGCCCGGGTGCCCCTGCACGGTGGACCCTCTGGCCTCTCTTGCGCCTCACCCCTCACCATGGTGCAGCCCCGGAGGCCTTCCTGCTCCTGCTGGCCCCCAGGCCCCAGCATGCTGCTCCACTGGAAGGCTCCTGTCCCCTTCAACAGGCGCTGTCCCGATCTCAGCCAGGCTTTCCCTGGTCACTCTACCCCAAACCCCCCACACTCCCAGACCTCGGTTCCCCTCCTTAGTGTCAGCTCATCTCTTCGTGGCACTTGCCACATCTGCCACTCTGCCGTCTCTGCCTGACTCCTCAGCTAGCTGCGGGGGGCAGGGGGCAGGGGAAGGGACCGTGCCTGTCTTAGTTACTGTTCTGTCACAGCCCCTGGCACTGTGGCTGGCACACGGGGAGTGTTCAGCTGATGAGATGAAGTCACAGGACACGGGTTTTAAATACTTACAACTTTATTAGGAGTAGGCCGTTGTCCCCGCAGCAGCCAGCCCCCCCGTATACACAGTATACACAGCCCGGCCAGTACCCAGGTCCTTCCATCCTTCTGCAGTACACGGAATGCAAAAGAACCAGACGCGGAGGGGGCTCCGTAATGACAGTGTCCCGTGCCTTCCAGAGCCGACTCCGGGCTGGAAGCACGCAAGTCTCTCTACCTGCCCTCAGCCCCCCCCACCTCCCGCCAGCCTGGCAAGGCCCATATGCTTGACTCCTCCGATCAGTGCACATGATTGTCAGAGGAGGCGGAGGGCTCCTGACCCAGGTCCTTCCTGGTCCACACCCCACAGAAGACCTTCCTGGAGCCTCCAGAATGTTCCTCTTCTTCCACTGGACGTGAGTATTGGGCACTTTTTATTCCGTCACTAGAAACCTGTGCCTTGAGGTTCATCTGTGCTCAGCCTTGGAGAGCACGGTCGGATTAGTGAAATGGTCAAAGACAGGACAAACCTCCCAAGTTGTCTTGGTCATACATCTTTTAAAAACGAAAAAGAAAAACATCACGACAGGAAAGAGCATCGAGACCCAGCTTGTGTCAGGAACAAGACTGGTTGTCCCTCCTTGAAATGATTTGTAAAGCTGCTCTGCTTGGAGGCCAAGCACCCTGTTGATGGAAGCCCCCTTCCCACCCACCCCATCCCCTGCCCATTCCACACAGCCCCATGCCACCCTCTCCTCGCCGAGGATGGGGGCACCAGGCACAGGGCACAGTGCTGTCGTCGGCTAGTGGGGTCTGCATCGGGCCTGGCACCCTGGGCTCCTCTTAGCCTTGCAGCCCGGCAAGTGCTCACTCCTGCATGGGGAGGAGTCCTCCTCACTCTGGTCCCTTGCCTCCCCAGACTGCAGCCCTGGCCCCCAGACCTGCACGCCCCCTGCAGGAGCTCTGCTCAAGGCCTAAGCCCAGGGTCAGACTGGAAAGAGAACACCATCCCAGAGGCCTGTCTGGCTGGCTGGCTGTTTGTGGATTCTGACTATTAGGGGAAACCAAATAAAAGACACTTGCCCTGATATCACCTCACAGAAGTCCAGGACTCATTGCCTACACTCAGAAGCAGAATCTTCCATGTACATACTGAGGCAGCTGAACTCTCAAGAAATACCCTACTTGGCCAAGGGATCTAAGCCCAAAACATCTTCCCACTTGGAGCTCTAGAAATGCCCTGGTTTCCACTCCCCTAACATGTCTCCCAGATAGACAGGTCTCCAGCAGTTCCCACTGGCGGTTCGCAAGGCCCCTGGGTCAGGTGACTGATTTTTGGTTCTCCTGAAACCTGCTGCCGGGGCACCTGAAGAAAGAGACCCCATCTGTGTGTTTGGAGCCGCAGTGAGTAGCCAGACTGTAGAGAGCAGAAAGCCATGCACCCAGGCCTATCTTTGTGCCTGGGCAGCTCAGTCTACCGAGGATGACAGCCAGGTCTTCTGGAAGCACCAGGGTAGGTTCCCAGAGAGCACAGCCTGAGGTAGCAAATAGTGAACCCCGTTTTCCAACTGCAGAAACCACGGCCTGGGATGCAGCGTGACATGCCCAGGCCAGACTGCATGGAGCTGGCCGGATGAAGACCAACCTGCAGGCATGCGCATTTTCAGCGCCCAGCCCTCCTGGGCAAATCCCCTGACAACTGTGAAGGTTCTCTGAGGCAATGCAGAGCGCGGGCATCAGCCTGATTTACACCTGCCTTCCTGGAGGAAGAGGCATCAGAACTGGGCCTCGTCTTCCCCATCCTAGGGTGACATTCCCCCCAAGCTCGGACCCAGCCATGACAGCAGAGCCCTCTAGATCTCTCCCCAACCTCCCTGCTTCAGCTACAGAATCCATCTCCCCTTATAAGTCTCAGAATTTTTAATGGTCGGATCCCTCTTGAAGAAAACAGTGGGCTCCCTACGGATTCCTTTCCCTTCCTGCAGAGCCTCAGAAGACACCTCTGTGAAAGCACACACACACACCTCGCTTGTCTGGCGGCCTGAATGACACAGGGAGAAGAGGTGTCTCTTTAAAGAGGGGCCCAGAGGAGGAGGAAGCGGAGAAGCTCAGGACTGCCTTATACATCCAGCTCTTTCCGAGAAGAGCCCTGCAGGCTGCAGGCACGCCTCACCCCACGCTCCCCCAGCGCCTGCACCCCCAGCCCATCGTCATTGTTCAGTCCATGTCAGAAAAGGAAAGTGGGCTAAAGCACCTTGTTCAGAGACGGCTCAGAGCTCCTAGGGCCCCCCAAGGGTGCCAAGCTGCTGGGCCACGGCTCTTCCGGCAGCCTGTGGCCTCCCTGATGCGGGCCAAGGTCCCTGAAGTTCTGCCTGGGGGTGCCCATCCTCCGGGTCACTTGGAAGCTGGGCCCCAGCACCTCTTGCCCAGCACCCGCACCTCTCAGCCCGTCCCAAGACTGGGCCCGGGAGGAGCCTGGTGTGAGGTAGACTGTGTTAGTTACTTAGCTCCCCGCCCAGGCCAGGGAGTAGGAGCGAACCGCTCACTCCCACCCATGATCCTTGTCCCTGGATGTGGTCACATCGCGGCGTGGGCCCCTGGCCACTGCCCTCTGCCCATGGCTCCAGCTGGCCAGACACTGGCAGCACCCATGGGTCCCACTCAGCAGGGGCGCAAGATGCAGAAGTCCAGTTCCTGGGGCTTCCGGCGCAGGTTGCACTGGTCCCGGGCCAGCAGCCGCCCTCCGTGGCCCACGCACTTGAGTGGCCGTCTCTTAAAGCCCCGGCCGCAGCTCTTGGAGCAGGGCGACCAGGCGCCGAGCTCCCAGGCCGGGCAGGGGTCCCCACAGGCGCGCGTCTCCGCGGGCCGGTGGCTGGC